AGTACGTGTCGGTGCATGGCGGTATAATGCGTGCATTTCTCAACCTGAACAATAATGGCATCAAAAATCTTAGAACACCAGAATCTGATTTTGATGCTGTAACAAAGAAATATGTTGATATCACCAAGTTCCAAACTGATTTTACTAATCACATCACCACGTTTTTAAATTTTCGCAGAAACATAAACAAAACCAATAACGAATTTTTTGGAAGTCCGCCATCTGTTGATATTACACTCGATAATATTAACACAAAACTCAACGATATTATTAGTGGAATTCCTAGTATTGTTGAGAAAACAAGTATGATTAAAATTCCTCACAAGCAGATTAAAAATATTGTCTATACTGTTGCTTCTGGAATGTCTACTTGGTCGCCGCAAAATAACACTCTCAAACATACTGCAGAGGTCACTGTATGTATAGATTGTCCGTGTTTAGCAGTGCAAAGTTTAATATATTTACCTTATTTCCATGGCGTCACTCGACTGATAATTTCTCTGGAACCGTGTCTATTGTGTTAAACAAAGATGTTGAAGAAACTTTTATGCTAATAGCAGATGACAAAAAATTAACTGCTGTGTCATATTGGTATTGTCTGGAATTTGTGGCTGAAACACATCAAGCCTGAGATTATGTGAACAAATATTATAATGAAAAAAAGTATAGTTGATTTCAATCATATTTCAAAAGATATTCCAGGACAGGATGTTGACGCACTAATACAATACTACAAATATTATCATAAAAAACTTTGGTGCGTTAAAAAATGTTACAAATATTATAACAAAATACTTCGAGTAATATCATATCTACCCTTGTTAATGACTAGTTCTGGCATAATTTCAAGTGGTATATCATTAAACCCGTTTTTGTTAATCATATCCGGTGTTGGTGTTTCTCTTACAGCAGCTTGTAAAAAAGTTGAACCTAAAATTTTGATAAAAAAGCACGGCTGCTTAACATCAATTATAACTTACAAAAAACTACTTGATCAAATACGATCTTACCTACGAGGAGCAAAATATAGTATGGACGATTTAATACGTGAATTTCGTATTATTGACAACATGTTAACAGATATTATACCCATGAGGATCAGCAAATATGAGAAAGATTATCAAAAGAAGTATGATATAACATAAAATTTTATATAATACCACTTACCTTACTGGAATTCTAATGCGTAATTTAGTCCACAATCGCCACGCTCTGCTAAATCGTAATGATTTGGAAAATTGAGTCTGACATATCATTTTGCTTATTCTGGAAGATCACGTAATTAAATTTTACCTGTTTCCTAGATATTTTGCAACAGGCGTTCTATTGTATTTGTTTGGAGGTCTAGAGGGGTTGTTGAGCTCGGATTCTTAACGCAATTATTGATTGCAACAGGTGTTCTATTACGTTACCTAGGTATTTTGTATTTGTTTGGAGGTCTGGAGGGGTAGGGAGAGGGGTTGTTGAGCTCGGATTCTTAACACAATTATTGATTGCAATAGGTTTTCTATTACGTTACCTAGGTATTTTGTATTTGTTTGGAGGTCTGGAGGGGTGGGGAAAGGGGTTGTTGAGCTCGGATTCTTACTTTCCCCTACTACTTATATCAGGGTTTCCATGACATGGGGCATGTCATTCAGATTTGATGAACTAAACAATATATTTTGAGCAAATTCAAGATGTATCACTATAAGTATTGTAATAAATTTAGAATATGCGCATTTGTTTATAGAGCGCCCCGTTTTAAGGAAAATTTAGATTTGTGTGATTTCTTATTTGATTATTAGAATTTGGTGCAATCGAAATATTCCTTAGGCCGAAATAATTAGCCAATTACTAGGAGCAAACATTTCATAGAGAAGTGTTAGCCCGTTTCCATGATGCCAAGGTCAGTTAGTAGTGAATTCAGGTGAAAACCGCACCACTATCCCCGTCGTACCATAGTGTCTTTTAAAACCTAGTGGTGTACATTGGTGGTGTGACTGCAATAGCAATATTTACTGTAGGAAAACGGTAAAATACACAAAGAAATAAACAAGAAAGGACCCGGCAGATACCGTGCATGTTTCCATGGTAGCAATCGGGATGCAGTTGTACTGGCGAAATGTTCCTTGAAACCCTGCATTCATTGGCCTTAGGCGGCGTAGTTAAAATAGTTCCCTGTGTTAGGGGATTGTTGTATAGTTTAACTGCTGACGGTACGGAAGACCGATGAAGAGAAACCATGCAAATGTGCGGTTGATATTGATATTTGACAAGTTGGGAGCTCTGTAGTCTTCAATTGATTAGAGTCAGATTTATGTATAGAATGGACACGTCGGGCTTTAAAATTTAAAATGAAATTGTATGGAAGTCTTTGGAAATTTGGGATTTCTTGTGGGATCGCGTCAGGGTTTGACACCGCTCGGTCAAGCAAATACCCCATGCTTGTGACAGCATATTTATTACCATTCATATTACCAGTTCAAAAGACATGTTTATGCCCTGTCACCTGAATGCTTGTTTTTTTGGAGGGACCCAGCTCTGACCAATATGGCTTGTATCGGAAGCCTAACATTGTTTCAAAATAGTTATACGGGGAAAATTCCAAAGAAACGGTTGTAGGACAGACCATTTAGCCAGCGGTAACATTTTTTCGTCGTCTTGGCTTAGTAGCTCTGAGTTTCCTTCCAAAGCATTCAGTTGCATTTTTTTTCTCCCTCGAAATTAGTATTGTGACTGGTTTGTAAAATGGTACGTCCTTGATAGATACGCTATAGCCCTTGGTCTCAATCTGTTTTTCTTTGTTCAAAGTCTGAACCTTTCTGTTTGCAAACAAGTTACGAATATTTTTCCAAAATAACCGTTTAAATGACCAGAATGGCATTTTCATTTACTGCGTCTTATGTTTATTGTTGAAATTCGTTTCTTGTTTGAAAGTTTCATGTGTACTTCAGTGAACTCGTCCAAATCTATAACTTTATCATCCTTACTTACAAGTGGACGAAACAGAATGTTTAATTCATTAAATCTAATCAGCCAAAATCTAAAACGTCTATGGCATGATTGTACATGGTTTCTTTATGATGTAGTTCATTATATTCTATACGTTTTTTTAGGCGCGTGTATTGGTTTGTTTAAAACCGTGCAATAATGAAAAATACTGCATAATTCAAGCATTTTAAAGTTAATTGAAAAAAATGAGCTCATAATGATAATAAGTTTAATACATATAAAAATTGCAACAAATAAATATAAGTGAATGAAAGAAGTTTGAGAACCGAAGGAGACTAGATAAAATATTGAGATAACGTACGAATAATTTAAATTTATAAACTTTAAGCCTTTGTTTAAAAGAACGGTCGCCCTGTAGAGGAAAAAAGAATTTTAAGATAGAGGAATAAAAGCTCTTAATACAGTCTGTATTTGTACTATTATAATGATGAATAAAGGCAGCATGTTAGACATATTCCTGATCTGTTTGTAAAGTCAAAGTCCTACACAGAAACATTACAAAGAGAAAGTTCAATTCAATATCATTACAGTTATCTATAAATTATGTTCTCTCGTGTTTCTGAAAGCTTTTCCCATTGTGCAAACCAATTTCCAGAAAATGTGATGGTATCCTTTATTTAATGATATCATTTCAAATCTTAAGAACATTAACGGTATGGAAAAAAATGAAAATGAAAATTTGCAATATCATGATTTAATGTAGCTCTATATAAATCTAGTATTCATGAATTATTTTGTACTGTTAATTTTGCTATTAGTTAATATTGATTTAAATCACATCAAAAATATGTTCATATCCAGTCTCCCTCATTGATTTTAACTTCATAAAAATGAGGCCGATATAACCTATTTTTAACAAGTGAAACCCTATTTGGTTTATCTATGCATCCATGTCACAAACACAAATTGTAAGGATGCTAGTAGTTTGCAATATTATGGTTCCAATCTTTATACAATGTGCTCTCAAACTTATGCATTAAAAAGTTTAACCTAACACTTGATCATGTAATAGTGCCTATCTATCAATCCCGAAAATGCACTCAACATTGTTTTTTTGCTAATGAAAGCGACTTTATATCAGTCCGTTGTCTATAATGAAAATCAGACCATAATTAATGGTTGTGAAAGCCATCTATTTAAATTAACGTCTCAAAGGGAACCCGAGTTTTTCCTTTCCTAGTTTGTAAGGTAATATTTATTGATAATAATAATGATATATATATATATATATATATATATATATATATATATATATATATATATATATATATATATATATATATATATATATGTTTCATATTGCTTTTTTCGTCTTTACTGATGCTAGTAATCATGTCGGTTGTGTGGTATATTCTCTCTAAATAAATCACAATTAGTCTGTATATATTGGCAATGTAACAGCTGGGTTATAAAATACTAGGTTAATCTTTCCATTTAATGATAAAGTGTGGGAAACAACCATATTTGATTTTCATTTTTTTTTAATTCTCAGCATTGTAAAATAATTGTTATTATTCAAGACTATTTCAGTTTTATTCCAGCCAAATGTGCATTGTGCATGCACTTTTCACACAAAATCTAATTAACGTAAACTGACTAGATATTACTATGGACAATAATAATGTTCTCAATAAAGTGATAAGCTCCATGACTATAACGTCACTTGGGGATTTTTATTTAAAGACATTTCCTTATAGCATTTAATCTAAATTTACAATGATTGGGTAACATTAATTGTGCGCGCATGCGCGCGCATGTGTGTGTGTGTGTGTGTGTGTGTGTGCAATTTGGATTTTTTAAATTTAGATTAAAATTCTTTTAGTCACATCGCTAGGTTGTTTGCAGTGCTTCAGTTAATAATGATGCATAGCACTGAGGCATCATGTTGCAGACATGTGGCATTATGTTCCACCCAGTCAAATTATCTTGATTCCAGACCGACAAATTCTAACACCTGTCTCTTAATGTTGGCGCTGCTAGCATCATTTTTTAAGAAGTCTGTGGAATGACTTGGCAGGGGTTCGAACCCGCGACCTCCAGCATCCAAAGCGGACACTCTAAACCACTTATGCCACCGGAGCTGTCTAACATTAGTCTTAACAGTTAAACAACAGGACATTATTTAAATTCATATATTTAATCAGAACCTGCAGTGGAAATTGGAAATAATTTTCAAAAGTTAGTTGTGTAGATATTGTTAATTTATAACAGTTAGTTCATTATTGAACTAACAGTGTTGGTCACGACTATATCATCTTTAGTAGCTTTTGCTAAATTGGGCAGCAAGTAATTAAAGAATTAGCAATAGTTTTGCTTCTTTAAAAGTTAATCCACGGGTAATAGATAAACATATCTATATTTTTCCAGGAATTAAAAATACACTTGACAAATAAGCGTATACATTTAATTATCACAGTGAACGGCGAGGGCAAGTGAGCGAACACAAAATATATAAATTGAAGTCTGGAGTGTATTATAAATAATGGCATAAAGCAACGTTGTATAGAATTCAGTTTTCCAAGAGATAATCGCAATATGCCTCGAGTTTGGGATGACATAAATAATGTTGGTATTAAAATATTCAAGCAATGCCTGTTTATTTTAATCGTTTGAATGGGGTAAAAAATTGTAGCAACTGCTAGTTGTGCTAAAGAATAATATTCAAGAGAATACAAATTTCTTCCTTAATTTAAAGCATGACAGAAATATCTCTGTGTTTCGGACATGTTGAAATTTACCGATTACATTTAATGATATTGTCGTTAACAACATCAACACTGTTAGTAACATGTTTATGATATTGTCATTAACAACATCAACCTGTTAGTAACATAGTTACAACAGTAGATTATGGTGATATAATAAATTACCTATTTGATGTGGAGAAATATAAACGTTATTTGTCTACATTTACAGTAAATATAAAGATTCCTTACACTTTACCGTGTCAATTTACAAGGTTTCGACATAAAACATAAATAACTTAAAGAGGAAAAATTCAGGTTTAAAACAGCACACGGTAACTCAGTATGAGAACTAGCTGCCGCAGGGTCAACCAATGGAATGCCAGAATGTGATATATACCTGATATTATTCATAGATTTGTAATGATTTAAGAAACATTGCAAACGAATGAACCTGTTTTAAACGGTCACCTGGTTTATATATAGATAACACCTAAATACAAGTTTCGAAGCAAAGAGTATTTCCTTGATTATTTGGATTTCGTTTCAATTGAATGAAACAGAATATAATTTTAGTGTGCTTTTATTGACGATTCAGACTGTCCAATTACTTTGAAAAGGATGAACCAGTTGTAACAATAATTTAAACGGAAAGACGTAAAATTAACTAAAGAATGCTTAACTGAACAATCTAGCTGCATGTTACGCAAGAAAGGGATAAAATAATATTTTAATATATAATGGCATGTGAAAGTTAAGTGGATGACCACTGATAGGGAAACATGCAAGAATATTATAAAGACAACAATTAGCGAAAGTATATTTTGACAGTGACATCAATGCTTTTGGATAAATGTTGAAAGAGAATGAACGTGAAAAGATACAGTTTGATAAACAGAAGAAACTTGCAATAAAAATGTTAAAGATTTACTAGAAAATATTTAATTAACGGTTACAATAAAATTATTCATGTAAAAAGGCATGACTCCGAATGAAGCATCCATTGATGAAAATGCGTCAAAACTATGGATAAACAATTTCCGGTTCCCAACTGGTACTTTTGAAACGGCTACGTTTAAAAATCGGTAAAGTGTAATTTCAGATGTAAAGTTATGTTGTTTTTTTAATAGTTACCGTCTAAGTTTAGAGAAGAAATATTTAGAATTACGCATGCAATTTTACTCGAACCAGTCGTTTATGAAATGGAAGACGTGAAAGGAGAATATATACGGGGCATGTCATACGAACAAAGGTCTTTACGATAAACATGATGATATTCACAAAGTTGAATCAATATTAAATACATAAATAATGAGCGGTAATCGGTGTGTTTTTGATAAATGGAAAGAATGAGCTGAATCTTTTGAAGCCAGCTTTATATAAATACATAGAAGCAAAAGGAGCAGGAAAGCAAGAAAAAAAAATTGATCTTTTATAAAATAACATATTTACAGAATATGACAGATGTGGTAGAAATGAATTAGAATATGAAGGATTTCATATATGCATGGTATATCAATTTATTTTGATTATAAAACAAGAGAGAAAAAGGAAAGTACATTCAAACACATCACCAGTAGTTAATAAATGCCACACAAGAGAAACGTAATAAAATGACTGTAACCAATAGAATCTAGTCTAAAAATAATGCAGTTCAGTTCTTATGCGATTGTGCCTTCAGCAGAAGTGAATTTCAGGATGGGCCTCTCTAGGCGCTCAGTTTAAGAGGTTTGTGTTGGGACTGATCAGCCTGGTGTCAGAATAATGTGACTGGGTGTGACATGATGCTACATGTCTGCGGCATGATGTCCCAGTGCTAAATAACATCACTATAAACTGCCTCACTGCAGTCATCGTAGCGATATGGCTGCAAAATTGTTAAATCTATGATAAATATTCAACACACACACATACACACACATACACACACACACACACACACACACACGCCGAACGGGATGAACTTTAGATTAAGACCCCCAACTAGAATAGAACCTTACTTTTCAGTTCAATACAATAAATTGTTTAGCTAGATTTAAGTTGGTCAGCAAAGCAAAACCGTTTAGCGAGATATGTATGTTTACCATAATGAGGTCGAATGTCACATGCAAATCATTGCTCATTTTTGACGATACACATCATAATTTGACATTAAAGATTTTCATAATATATTAAGAGCATAGTGCAATGTGAATTACTCGCAGAACCAGATAAGTTGGTCAGTGTGGATTGCAGCATTTGGTAAATGAATTTCTTTCTGGCACTTAATTGAAGAAAAAAACATGCTAAAGCTTTAGGTTAGGAAAGTTCTTGTTTACTTCCAGATTAGGGAAAGACCACGTGCGTGTTAAATACTTTAACTTAGCTAGGTAAATTTAATGCAATCAATAAAAATATCATTCTGAAACAATTTAATTTGAGTTGCAAACATTGTAACATTCCGTCACATTAAGATTGGAGGCACATTAAAGGAAATACCATAACAATGATAAACAATGATAGGAACGATTGAAAACCTTGTAAAGATTTATTTAATTTTTGAACATAAAGTAACTAGGTTGAATAAATTAGTGGATTTGGTTCGAAATACTGGACAGTTAATATACCTTACAGCAAGTTTAGTGAGTGAATGAATGGAGATACATGTACTGCCTCTTTCTCCTAGGACGTAACATATTCACACTTAGGGAAATGACAAGATTGAATGACATTCATTTAAAAAACGGCTTAAAATCAAACCTTTCATCACATTTTGCAATATGTACAACAATCAGTTCCAGTTAAGTTACCATGCTTCATCCTGTAACCCATTAGCAGGACCAGAACCCATGACTGCAGTTTGAATCGGTATCTAACCAATTTCGAGACCCACAAGAATATTTTCTTCTCCACAACAACCCTTTATTGTGATTCCCCTTAATCATTCCTCATATAATATGAACTTTTACTTTTGATAATCATCTTAAAGTCTGGGCCCACTGTATGATAAGAAATTCCAAAGTCGAGAATTGTTCATTGCATTAGGCAATTTCTTTATCCTGTTTGTCTTTGATACCAACAACGCAGTGTTAAAAAATTCTAGGTAGAAATGTTTTGAATACATCATCATAATATATGGACCTTATTTTAAGTTGAATGACTTGAACATTGTCATGGCATTCAAAATATTGTGGTTACTTGATTCGGTTAGACCAATTTGGATTGAATGTGGTTTTGTGAAGGGTAAAGTGGGAAAGTTACGAGCATGGACAGTTAGTGTTTTAAGATTAAAATGCTCCGCATCATTAGATACAGACTTGTTATAGCAGATAGATATTTTTAAAATGGTTTGAACTGTTGTATAAATATTCTTGCTGTTCATGTAACTGTTGTGTTAAAACGTCCAAAGATGACCTTTTATTCCATTGGGCAATTGTCTTTCCTTAGATATTGTTTAAGCATATTGTATTGCCATATCAATGATATAATGGAAGTATGGTTGCATCCCTCTTGGATCGACTTTTGGTAAATATGAAACCCTATTTAAATATGTTAGGTTGTTTTCTTTTCCAGGGTAATATTTTAGTTGTTAATCAAGTTTGCTTTTATCAAACGAAAAAAATTGAAAATCACAATAAATGACAGCTTTTACTTTACTATCGATAGTTTTATAATTTTACAACTTAATATTCCTCAGTCATTATACCGCTGGCAGTATCGGCACCATAATATTTATTTTGTATTCTAATACTTGTTCCGGTGGATCGGACATCTATTAAACAATGACTGTATGTTTCTATATTGTATTTTAATTATCTATCTTTTCTCTTTGTGTATTCTATGCAGATTGTACAGCATATGCCGTGATCTTTTGATTGATATTTTATAAATTTTATTAAAGTAATTTTTAATAAAAAAAATATTCACCACCAAAGAAACACTCATCTTGTAATTTGCATTACGTTCTGTCCAAATGCTTAGTGTTGCATTTTAAACAATGTGTTTTAATTTCAATCATATTCACTATTTTTAGAAAGCTTTTTCTGTATTATAAACGGATATACTCCAGTTCTTTTCCTCTCTTGGTCAGAAATTTCATTAGTCTGATAGTTAAGTTTAATTAAGCTTTCACTGGATCGAATTGCTGACTTTTTCTACTTATAATCTATATCAAATAAACATGGTTCAATGAAGAAGCAGTTCTTCCAAGTTTTGATTGTTACCACAGACAAATCTATACTAATGAGAATTTCTTTTAAATAAATGTCAAAATAATATCGTTGTAATTCTGTTTAAACTTAGCTTATTCGTCATTATTGAATCATTTTAGTTAGAAGGTGTATTACAGGGGTTGCAAGTTTTTCTCAAGGATTTTGGCATTGATATTACTTTGTTTAATTATTTAAAAATATTTCCTTA